TTTTTTTTTTTGGTTTATAAACTAACTGAAAACAGTTTTCAGCTTGAAAACTGTGAAATACTTTACAGACACATACAGACAAACGCATACAGACGTACCAATAAAATAAACTGTATCTTGAACAGTTTTCAAGTTAACTGACATTTTTCTAAGCAGTCTATGTTGGTTGGTATACGATATTCTGTTGGCTTCAAACTTTTGTTATTTGTCTGATAAGCAAACAGATACATCAGATGTATATAACCAACCAAATAGGGACAATATTATACTTCTGCCAAAATCAATGACTACAATCAAATTGCATAAACTAATAAACTGTTGACTAAAAAAATTGTTTAATTTCGATTACAAATAGCAATAAGTTTTTTTTTCTGATTTTTCAGTCTCTTTTCATCTCCAAACCTTATTCAGTCTAATACTGTTGGCTTTTTACTTCACTTAATTGATTTACAAATATAAACATACAAAAATACACATAAGCAAATAAATCCACTGACACACACACACACACAAATTTTATACTAAAGACACTCAAACACACACTTTGAAATATGCATATGAAAAATACACAGAGACATACACTAAGACAATTATTTTAAAAAAACGAATAAGTGTAAACATATACAATAAATATATTTTAAAAATGTAGACTAATCGTTGACTTTTTATCATTCTGCTAACACACTGACTTTAAACTAAACAAATTATCTATTTTAGAAATAAACCAAAAAAAAAAAAAGAAAATTTAAGAATGTTTAATCTGCAAATAAGTAATCACAGCAGAAATTTTATTCAGCAAAAAATTCTGTTATAATTGATCAAAAGTTTTGTTCCACCTGTTTTCCTCTACAACATTTTTTTTTCCTCTGTACACCAAGTTTGATCTACAGTATGAGGTAAGCAATAAAACTGAGCCTAAAAAAGACACAAAATTTTCTGTGGTTGTATCGTAAAAAAAAAAAAGAAGAATATAGGCAACAGTTTGATTCTTTCATCGTTTGCTAAATCAAAACAAAAGAAAAAAAAAAAAGAAAGAAAGAAAGAAGAGAAATGATTGTAATAACAAAAGTTTTTCAGTAATTCAAGGATACGGGATAGTGGAATCCGGCGGGAATGCATTACACTTTTCAACAGTATCGGTTACTGATGCTGATGTCGATTGCTGAGATTCTTCAATGCCGATGATGGCGATGGTTCTGTTGTTGAAAACAATAAAAGCAACAACAAATTTTGCAGGTATATATTTCATTGATATGTACAGTAATTTATTTCTCAAAGATGATAAATGCAATAGATGATGAAAAGAAATAAAACTTCTTCCAACAATTCAGTTAACTGTCCAGTTCAACGAAAAAGAAATGTTTACTGAACAATATATAGATGAAATAAACAAAGAAAAAATTATGTTTTCATTTTTTCTCTATCTTTTCATTAGTGATATTGTTGAACAACTTTGAAAGAAAAAAAGAAGAGGTATTCTTATTCTCTCTTTTCTTTTTTTTGCGTTGCTTTACCTTTTTTATAATGAACAACTAAAAGAAAAAAGATTTGTAACAAATAACAACGATACCTAACAAAAAATGTCAATAATCGTACATCAATGACAGGTTAAAATATCATTAAATATTGCTTTTTTTTGTCATCTATCTACAAGTTTTATAGAAAAAGCAAAAAGCAAATTCGAGAAAGGTATGAAGAGGGGAAAGAGAGGAGAGAAGAGGGAGAGAGATTGTTTGGTGAAACTTTTTGGCCAATTCGATAAGAGCAGAAATCGATGAATTACTTTGGTCGAGTTTGCCAGCTAAGATAGGGGTTGGGAGATGGCTTTAAAATATCAGATAGATCGATGTATACTTTGAAAGCTTTTTTTGATTTGATTCTTTTTTTTTTCTGATTCTGCTAGTTTCTCTTTTTTCATTGTAGTTGTTTCTTTGCCAATTTGCCGGTATTGTTGTAGTTTCCCGAACAGATTTGCCAGAAATATTTTTCTATGTGTTTCTTCTTTTTCACACAATTGTTAGAATAAATGTTTTTTGCTGCTTTGCTTTTCTATTCTGTTCGGGGTGTGTGTATGTGATAACACAGTGGTGTATATAGGTTGGTACAGCAACTACTCAGCTGTTTTTGATGTATCAGTTGTTCGGGTTGTGAACAATTTGTTTGCAGTAGTTTTAAGTTTTGATTCAATTAAGTTTTGCTTAGTTTAGCCCAGATTTCAGTTTCTGCACCAAAAAAAAATTTCATTGGTAACAAAAGTCAACAGGCAAAGAGGTGAAGGGAGAAGCAAAAAAAAAAGCACAAAAAAACCCAAGGCGCTATTTTGTAATGGTTTTTTAAAATGTGGAAAAGTATGATGGATAAAGCTGGATATGTTTTGCTTTTTTTGCAAAATTTTTAATTTATCAAACGATCATTGAACACTTTTCTTTTCACCTAATTTTTTTTGCCACATCAATTATTCATTTTTTTCTTTTTTTAAAGTTGGCTTTGTTGTTTGTTTTTTTTCCTTTATTCTTTCTTCAACACAGCACATCAAAATTAATTAACAGATTTTTTTTGTACATTCAAGTAACATTATGACTGTTATTGATAATAGTAATCATTATCATCATAATTGTAGTTTTGATAGAATAATAATGCAAGTAATAATCATATTTATAATTATATTATTTTTTCACTTAAATATTTTTAATAAGCAGCAAAGAAATATTGCTTTTATAAAGTTGCTACTGGTGTCGTCACCATTGTTACCAATACTTTTTCAAGTTACTTTTTTTCGACTTGATT